TAAGTTTTTTAAAATAGATTTTATGATTTTTCTAAAGAAAAAGATTTAAATTTTTTTTTTATTTAGTCTGTTAGAACATTCTCGAGTGAGTTTGTGCTTACATTAATTAGGAAAGCAAGTGTTCAATTTCGGATGTGGAAACCCCTTTCCAATGTTTTTTTTTTTTCTTTTTCTTTTTCTTTTTTGGCCAATTCCTTTGTTTGTGCAAGGTTGGAAAGTTCCTCCCCAATTTAGCCAAACACGTCGAAGAAACGTAGATCACTCTCAAGTCTCAAGTACAAGGTGCATGCTTACAAATTTACTCAATTATTGATTGTAATCTCAATCAACATGCCATCATATGATGAGCTCCATATGTTTGTCAATACCAAAATCAAATTGCAACCACAATTTTTTTTTTTTTTTGACAAAGTAATAATTAGAAAATTAATATGAATTAGTTGTTAGTAACTGAGATTCTTAGAATGGTAAACATTTCACTCTTTAAATGAAGCGCACAGTCATTAGGTCGCAAGTTGGTGAAGTTCATGACAGTGGCAGAACTCGAAATTTTAACTTTCGCGCCATTGGCCGCAGACCGGGTTCGCAATTGCAACCACAATTGAATTCCGGAACAACGACGCCTTTTAGCTGGAACAAGCCTCCGAATGGAGCCATTAAACTTAATACGGATGGTGCTATGATTGCTTTTTACAGGTCAATCTGGAGATAGGGTTCTGTTTGGAGATCATGCAAAGCAACTGGGTCCTGGTTGTTATTCTTGTTTTTTTTTTTTCTCTTTCTTTTAATAATTATTTAAATGAATAAGTATAATGTAGTTTAAATTGTTTCGAATTGCATTACATTAATTTTTTTTTTTTTTTTTTGGTTATATAATGGAAGGCAACTATTTCTTATTCTTTATCACATCTCATCCGCATACCATGCGAATCGAACTCAGAACTTTTTATTTTCAATGAAATGAGATGACCACTGAATTATTTAATTCATTGGTATTTACTCCTTATATATTATATGAGAATTAAATTCTTATTTATTATTATTTTCTTCTTATCCAATAGTCATTATTTTATAATTCAATATAGTCTAAATTATAAAACAAAATTCCTTTACTTAAATGCTGAATTTTGGGTCATTAGATATGACTTGTTTGTGGCTATTCATAGGGCTTCACTAACCACATTCTTGAAAATAATTCCTTGACTGCTGTTACCTGTATTATGAACAAGTTTTCTAATTATCACCGTCTCAGCAAATATCAGATATGTAGTTAGGGAATGCGACATAAATGCAAATAAATAGCTAAGATGGGGCTCTCTTTATCCCCATCCTTCGTTATTTTTTGTCACTTTCCCCATCCTCAGTTTTTGCATCCTCTGGATCTATTCCTATTTTTTTATATAAAATAAAAATTATATTAAAATAATAAAATTCAGATTGTATATGAATCTCTATATCACAATCACCTCATTTTACTTTTGATTTAAAACTAATGATACAAATAATTTACTAGTAATTTTTTTGTTGAAAATAAGAGATTTTAAATTCGAATCATAAGATATAAGAATAAATGAGATTATCTTTATTATACAATTTAATATCAACAAAAAAAACTTTTGACCTAAAAATTATTTATTAAATAAAAAAATTATTACAAAATTATAAGTAGGAATAATGTAGATTTAAAATAATGGTTTAAATATATAAAATTTGGATGAAATAATATAATAATAGTGTAAATT